GCTTCTCGAATAACTTATCGAAACTTTCGTATCGTTTTTTTTTTTAAAGCAACGATTCAAAGAATTTTTGTCCTTTTATTTTCATTTTATTAAAATTTATATTATAAATTCCTTTAATTATATTTAAAATTATATTTATAAATTCCTTAAAATTTCTGCTTTAATACGAGTGCAACATAATCTTCCGCGAGAATAAACGAATTTTTTTTCCAATTCAATTTGGCTCGGTGATCCACTTTCTATGATGGGATAAAATAGAAATCTCATCGAAATAGGATTACCAGCCGTGTTACCAGCCACCTTCAGGCTACAGTTGTTGCGACATAGGTCGCATTGGTGTACGAAACACGTGAGAAGGAGCTGGGAACGTGGATTCGTTCCTGCTGAACGAACTCTAGCATCGTGATTCGTCGCTTTTGGAAAGGTCGAGAATTATAACTTGTTCGAGTCGGCATTCCTAAATAGGAGCATATAAATATATGTATATGGATCATTATTATTTAAGATATATAATAACAAGTAACAAAGTTAAAGTTATTTTTTCATTCATTTTAGCTCCAATAAAAATTACAGTACTTATATATTTTTTTTTTGTAAGTCATTCATAATAATGTTGAATATTAATATTTAAAAAATGTTTCATTTTCGAATGGAATGAAAATTAATTTTCTATTTGAATTTTTTATATTTTCCAAAACATGAATCCTCATCAATGAATTTTAATTAATCGTGATCTAATTAATACGTGCGTTACAGTTTTCTTTTTTGAAGTTATCGACCGAATTATATCACATATTGCATTGTAAACGGGGAATCCAAATCAATGCTAATTAAATGAAACGAGGCTACTATTCTAATTTATTGTGTTCATGTAATGATTATACACGACAAATAAACTATTGTAAAGTTTTGATTTATTCGAATCAATCTCTAAATCAGTTCAATTTTTCATTTTCTTGTAATTTTAAGAAAATTATTTCGAACTTGAGGGATTGCAATTTTAAAAAATTTTATATTCAAGAAAATTAATTTCCAAACTTTTTTACAGGAAGAATTTTTGAAACAGATTGTCTCCTATTTTTTTCTATGTCTGATTGTAAAATTATATATTTAATTTGGAAAAGTATTCGCAAAAATTTGTCGTAGAAATTATTTCAAAGTGTGTTACACGAATTTTGAAACGGTATCGATGCATGATTGGCTAGACTGTATCTGGACCATCATTTATAAGGGGACAGGAGCTCATCGTGGAAACAGGACTGCCTTGAAGAGATCACTGGATCACTAAGGGTATCTATGATCCCGTGGGTATCTAGTCGTCCGTGAATCGGGGTCGAAACCACAAAAAAGTCTTCTCCAATGTTGTCTTTGTGGCGAGGGGGTTGCAACGCTGAAAACTGACCTCGAAAAGTCGAGACGAAACATCAGGGACGTTTGCAAACTGGATCAATTTTTAATATTTAATGGATACTATAATTGTTCAATTTCTTGTGTGTGCATTTTAAGAAAATTATTTTTATTAAAAGGAAGATATTCTTTTCACAATTTTACCACAATTGTTCATAAGAATTTTAAGATTCTTGTTAATATTCTGTCAGAAAAAATTGTTAAGATTTTCATTTTCAAATTATTTTTGGCTGAAAATCGCTATCTCCAAACAAATAAATCTTAAAAATTTGTCAGAATCATAACTTGTATAATTTAATATTTAGAAAAAAAAAATCGTCATTAATTGAACTCAGAAGCAAAGCTCAATAAAAATTCTTCAAAAATAAAAATTCAAATTTATCGAATATTACTTACTATTTTTTGGATTTTTCCTACATCTCTGCAAATGAATCTCAGTTTCAATCAGACAATCAATCCGCGATATCTCACCGCAATTTCTTCAAAACTTTAACTACAACTACAAGATCATGATGCATGTTTAACGAGAAAACAATTAAAGTATCGTTTTACATGTCAGGTATTGATCATCGTAACGTGGTTTTACTCGCATCGAAACCGCGACGCTATAAAAGCTAGATCGACAGATCGAACCAGCCACACTCGTAACCGAGACGTCCGTTTCGTGGTGTCCTAACAGCATGATCTTGCTCGTAAGTGTGTCGAGGGAAAAAAAAAATAGTTTCATTATCGTTAATGATCTATATGATTCGATAATTGGACGTTTATTGAAAAATAATAATAATAAAAAATATATATATATATATATTTCCAAATATTCGTATAACATTAAATTTTTAATTTCGATTACTTTTTTCTTTCTTTTCATATTATTTTTTTCTCCAAAATTTCTCCAATCGAAAGACTCACAGGATGCAACGTGATCCTTCGTTGCACTTTTCCAGATAGTCCTGGCCACGTCACTGGTGGCGTCGACGATCGCCGAATCCTACGAGGACAGAGAATACATTCAGTACAGAGGTCCTCCAGCGCCATTGACCAGCGATGGGATGGTCATGGACACGCCGGAAGTGGCCCATGCGAGGGCTGCCCACCTAGCGTTGCACGCTGAAA